CGCCTTCGGATGATAAACAGCCGCCCTTTAAAAAGAGACGGAAAGGGTCGCCGTGGTAAACTTCTCCAGTCGCTGCATGATTGCGATCTATACACCTTGCCGTCCCTGGGGACAAATTGGAAGCAGGATTTTGAAGTGGGTGGGATTACAAAACCAGGGCGCTCTGCAGGTAATTTCTGGTGGGTGGGATGTCGTCTCTTCTCGTCAGCCTAGGAGTTTTTCAAGACGACCCGTCGACGTTTGTTGCTTTACTTTTCGGGTTTATTCTACCCTACCTGATTTTAAAGACTGAATAGCCGGGATCAGAAAACAGCGGCTATCTTGAGCTACAAGTAAATTAAAAGAGTGCTTAGACCGGTAGAAAAAGCGTTAGAGGCATCGTGATAGGAGGCATTGAATTCCAACGTCCGACGGAAAGGATTTGTGGATCGCAGCCCCTTAACTTTGACGTTGCTGCGAAATCTGGTTCGAGCGAGGAGAAGATCCTTTGGGTGTTTTATAAATTGGGACGAGGGAGGGGGAGGGCTTGCGCATGGTTGATAACATTCAGCCAACCCACGAAACAGTTGCAAGGGTAAGACCCCGGCCGACGAGCAAGGGGTGGGAAAAGCGGTTCCGAAGGCCCAAAAGTTGAGCGCCTGGAGCGGAGTGGCGAGCCGGCATCCCGCAGGAAAGTCCCTCGGCCCTGGGGAGGAAGTGGTGCTTGTCGACAGGCCTTTCTGTAACCCAAGCACCCAAGCACCTTTCTCTTTCCATCCCCCTCCTCCTCTCTAGAGCATCTCCTTTTGAGGGGTGGGCAGAATTTGTCAACCCCAGTCCTATTTACTTATTTTTATGTCTTTGATAGTAATCTTCCTTTGTACTCCAGTGAGTATTGGACTCAGCGCTTAAAAAGGTCTACGGAACAGCTTCACCAATGCTGCCCACCAAGGTTTGCAAACTTGGTGCTTGATACCCAATCTGGTGCCCATCCCCAGCTTAGCTGGACATTTAGGGAGTTGGAGTCCCAGTAAATCTGGAGCAGTGTGTCTCAACCTTGGCAACTTTAAGAAGTGTGGACTTCAACTCCCAGAATTCCCCAGCCAGCCA